CATCCTCGTTTTTTCCCGCTAATATTCACGAGACCCTGTGACAGGAGCATTGATTTTTCCAACTCCAGGCACGATGTACTGCTGCTGCTCCCCTGTTTTAGTGTTCCAATACCAGCTTCTTAACACTCTGAAAAACCTTGCGCTCTCTGAAAGGCGCTCTCTGTGAAAGACCTTGCTCTTTCTTCCTCTACGCAGACACTCTCAGGAGAAGATCTCAATTGCCGTTAAGGAAAACAAGACATCGTGGTGGTGTGCAGGATAGTGTTCAGTGTGTTAAGAAGCAACTCTGAGCCTTTCCACAGCGGCATTGATTTTTCCAACTCCAGGCACGATGTACTGCTGCTCCTCCCCTGTCCTAGAAGTTAGAACCTGCCTTGACGGTCTCGTTGCAAGCAGCTCGCCGGCCAAAAGGTTAGCCTGTGGGGCATAATTTGCCCGACACACTGTCAGCCTGCTGGCAAAGCAACTCTGAGCCTTTCCGCAGCGGAGAGTGAAAAAGCTGACGTCTCTTCGAAAGCTGGGGCGAGAACTGGTGCGGTGAAGAACGAAAAAGGGGGAAGGGCATATTTCACGTTGTCGGTAATGGATCAGTCCAATTGTGTCCGGAGGAGGGGAGGAGGGGAAGGGGGAAGCGTAGATGGAAAATTGGCATGGCTGCTGTGCGAGGAGGACACACACAATGGGCAAGTGAAATCACTGCCCATTGTGTCCAGGAGGAAGAAGAGTGGGCAAATCCGCCACCTTTTCGTGGATCTGTGGGCCTGCCTACTCCCAGTCAAATGCGCTCATTGTAAAATCTGCCTGAGGGCCACCGGGCCGCCGAAGGATCTCACTTAAACCACCAGTATACTTCCTAGAGCCGTGCCCGTTAATGCGCCACAATTTTAGGAAACGTATGGGCTACTACAGGAGCACCCAAATTCGTCCGACTAGAAACGTTTCTACTCTACTTTTTTCCCGCGGCCGATAGCTGGGCCAAGTACTGGGGGTTTAAACCATCGCACAGACCGTCTGATCCCAAAGCAAATTGAACATCCACTGAGTGTGATCGGGCCATTAGCTGCTATCCTTTTCGCTCGAGTAGGCCCAAACCGCGGTTTCTGGTACTGTTATATTTGCCTTTATCCAGTTCTCCCGAGATGTGTCTGTCCGAGAGTACGGTCAGATTCGCGCGGTGAAGTATCAGATACTCTTCTCCTTTTATGCCTTCGTGCCTTTTCGTGGGTCTGGGAGTGTGCACATGGCCTCGAGACATTACTCTCTTTCTCACGCTTTCCTGTTTCTTCCTCTGCACGACGCTCAGCTCATTTCTTGGTTCCTTTTTTTTTTACTCATTACTACTACTACTTTCTTTCTTTCTTTCTTTTTTTTTTTTTCTTTTTTTTTTAAAATGGGAATAAGTCTCCAATCTATTCGTGGGGAGTAGCACGTGCTGGGAACCGGGCCAGCGTCCCATATAAGTTTTGTACACATTAAATTAAGGTACCGGGGCCATCGCCCGTCTTCGTCTGAGAAAAACAGATCATGGAACATCAACTAGGCTATTTGTGAGGATACTAAGCTTATTCTAAAAACCATGGAGGTCCACAGAAACCATTTGAAACCCCAAAAGTCTGAGGGTTCATCCCACTGCCCAAAGCAAAACCTCCAGCTATCTATTCTCTGGAAAACTCTTCCAGGCCTCACACCACCCCCAACCTGCTAGGTTACAGGGCAATATGACTCGCCCCAGCTCCGTCCAGCGTCCACGCCGTTTCGTCTTCTTACGTTCTTGAGCCACTACCAGTAAAGTGAGGATCTCTTCTTCTGCCTTATAACATGCAGCTGTGGGTAGCAGCCTTCCCCCGTCGGTGGTCTCCCTGATCATTTTTTGGTCGGGCAGCTAGGAGTTTTTGGCCATACGATTCCCCATGGGATAAGCGAACTGTTTTTGGCTTGACATAGACTGCCTCCCATCCTAACTGTGTGGCCAAGTCCCCTATTGCTATTGGGGAAACAAGGGCTAAGGAGACCAAGTTCAATGTATTTGGCTAAGCGGCGGGATTCTCTCCTCTCCACGTCTGACTGGAGCAGTAGATGTTGTAGATCTTGAACCACCAGTAAGTGACCCCACCCCACCTCTGAACAAACCCCTGCCAGTTAACTATGGGTTGCGGATAGTTTGGAGAGCCGATTGCGAGGAGGCTGGCTGGCGGTGCCAGGGTTACTCGTGCGCCAGTGGCCCTGGGTTTTGTAGGGGTCGGTCAAAAATCTCCGCTTCGACTAAAAAGTGGCTGCGAACAACTGGTGGTTAAACTACCCACAGCCTAAAAACTCTCCAGATGAATGTTGTTTGTCACTCTCTGCACACACACAGTGTTCCTGTTTTTGTCCCTTTTTAAGGATCTATGAATAGCCCATCGCATCGGTGTACATCCGGATTCGAACTCCTGACCTGTTTACCGATCAGCTCCATGTGCGTAGTACTGTGTATCATACAGCCTTAACTCTGGGTTCACACAGTGCCACTATTGGTTAAGAACTCTGCCATTTTTGGGCAGAGTTTGGGTGCAGTCACTGTGGTAAGGCCAACTGCCAAACAGAACTTACTGCAGGAGAACTGGAATCAAGGAGGATAGGGTGTGTCGGGTCTGGTCGTGGTTGGTCCTTGAAGAATCGATCGCGCCACCACGTGGAGGATTAGATCGATCTCGCCACCATGGAAAGGGTCGTTCCTACACTGCTGACTAAACTGGGAGTTGAACCGGGGCGTGCTTCTCACTACGCTTGGCACTCACAGGTATCTTTTCAATGACTGTGATATGACTGGCATATGAATGAGACCTGTATTCATGCTTTTTTTTTTTTTTTTTTTTTTTTTTTTGCCGAAAGGCCACGCCCAGGTCGCAGATCTCGATCGCAGGGCGGCTCCAACTCTGCCACACCATCTAAAGCTGGCCCAGGCCAAGGGTGTGAGCTACACGTGTGTGGTATGCCTACAAGTGATAGGTCATGCCTGAAAGCAGCCATGTGAAAGATAGGCAGAGGAAAGATGTCCTTTGGTTGACGGCTGCATCTATTTATGCTTTCATCACAAGGACATCTGGGTGGTGGATGCATAGCCACCTCCCTGCGCTTCAGCTGCTGGTGTCAATCACATGGCTGTACACTATTGAAGTAGATGGACGCAAGAAGAGCGATATCCTCACTACATCATTGATTTTTGGAAATCTAATTGAAGGCTGATCGACGTAAGCTTTACTGATTGAGGCCGAACTATGCCCCTGCTTCCCCACTTTGGTCAGCAAATCCTCCTCGTGTGACGTGGCAAGTTGCGACTAAGCAGGTGAGGAAGGGACAAAACTCCATTCTCATTGCCACCGTGCAGAGTCACCGTTCTCGTCCACTCCACAAGGAAAAAGGAACCAAAAGCCTGCCCCACATGTGTCACGTATCTCCGGACTTCTCCACGGTCTCGCCAGTTCCCTCAGTCTCGCTAAGCTAGTCTTTGAAATCTGTGGCCTATGTCTCAGGCCACAAAAAAGAATAACCGAAAACAGAAAAAAAAAAAGAAATCGATGCCCTGTTCTGAAGGGGCACTTGTGGAACAAGGTGCACTTGTGGACCTGCACTTGGATGACAGGTGTGCCCTGGGCATCCCATCCTTCAAGTCTGGGCATGAAGGACTGTGATGGTGGATGTGCATATCCATCCTTTTGATTTTAGCGATCCCTTTCCGTTTATCGGAGGCATGCGCAAAAATTGTACAGAAGTTGATGGAGAGGTAAATATGGCTGTGACCTCTTTATGCTTTTCTTCTCCCTCTGAAGCACTGTTTTTGTGAATTACTGTCTTCGTCTTCACCCGAATAGAACGCCCGGTCATTATCGCTGCGTCTTTACTGCAAGTTGGCCCCAATAAAGCCAAAATGACCTGGCGACGCTGGCGATCTATTCGGGTGAAGATGATAGGGAAGATCCGAAGAACATATGATATAGAGAAGCAAGAGTAGGGACAGGGGTAGCAGCATAGGAAAGAGGGACGAGAAAGAAGAGGGGCGCCAGCAGCAGAACAAACAGGATCAATATCAAGACTTACTGAACCGGAGGCAGATTTTGTCTGCAGGGCCTGTGCCTGCCTGGCGAAAGCGTTCTGTTGGTGTTCAGAATGTTGTCTGATGTTGAGGGGCTGAAGTTCATCGGTGACGGTGATTTGCCTATAATGCATCAGCAGTGACAGCTACTCATTTTCCCTCCTACAATGGGCAGTTATCCTCAGGTTTCAGCAATTTCCCCAGCAGGAGGAGGAGGATGATAATGAGGAGGAGGAGGAGGGAGGAGGAGGAGGAGGATAAGGAGAAGGAGAATGCGGAGGAGAATGCCGGTTTGTCTGCGGGCCTCTTCGTATTCGATGTCCAAACCACTCTGCTGTAATGTTGCTGTTTTGTCGATTGATGGTGGAGCATGTTGTCAATTTTTGTAACCGCTCCGCTGACCGCCAGGATTCCGCAACGTTCCTCTTGTTTCCTCTTTTTCGGACAACTTACTCCTTGTTATGGTTCCCTCGATGCGGTACCCATCACTTTTCCTGATGCTTTTTTCTTTTTTAAGTTTTGATTTTGGTATCGTGCGGGGGCTTTGGCCAAAACAGCTCTGCTACGTGCCCAGTTGTGCTGAGGGGAAAGACCTCTCTTCAACACAGGAATCCAAGGTGCTGGGGAGCCACATATCTATCCCCTTCCGCCAGCAGGCATGTGCACACTGAGGGTGATGTGAACTGTTTCTGAAAGTAGACATGTGTTTCACGGGGTGGTACTGCATTCAGGACTTCTTGAAGGATGTGCTTGTGTGTGATCTCTGTACAAGCAATATTTTTTATTTTGAATTTGAAATGGGATAAAACTTCATAAAAGCGCAAGCATGTGATGTCTCTGACCGAAGAGTGTCTCTTGACTGCTGCTGCGGCGGGGGCGGTGTGTGGGGTGGGGTGGGGTGGTTTATCTTGCTGGGTAACGAATGCAGAACAAGAAGCGATCAAATGATGTGGATGCGCAGAGATTTATTTATCTGGTGGTGCGACTGCAAGCACGTGTCAGAGGGAAACTGGTCAGGCGGTCGAGAGTGGGACAGCAGGTGCAGAGGCGTATCGGTGAGATGTTAGAGCAGAGAAGGCTGCGGATGCTGGAGGAAGGCTGGCAGGTTCCTAGGGCCAAACCGACATGGAGGAACACTGACAAGGCGATGCTGCTGCGTAGACGAGTGGAACAATATGTAGCGAGGTACTCCAGCAGACCCAGAATACGATCACGACGACTGAATTCTGCATCCAGTGGGTCGGTAACTTTGGACCAGGTTCTGTCCATATCAAAGTCGGTCACGGAGAGCACAAAAGGGGGAGGATTGGAAGGAGGGACAGAGAGCATTGGTGGGGACGGGTTTGGGGAAACACATCCAAAGCCACTCCTTGGCCTCCATCTGCGGGCATCGAAAAAGAAGGACGGGAAGATACATGTTCGGCGGATCAGCTCCTCTCCTGGTGGAATAAAAGTCAGGACCAAGGCGCAAGAAATGGAGGGGCAACAAGGAGCAGCAGGAGGAGAAGGAGGAGGAGGAGGAGGAGGTGCGATTGCGAATGGGGGAGGGTCAAATGTGAAAAGCCAGTCTGGGGGAAAGGAAGGTACAGCGAATGGAAGTGCAGTGGGAGGTGGTGGTGGTGGTGCTCGAGCAAGGAAGAAGCGCATTAGGCCAATCGGAACGCGTTCGTTGAAGCCTGGAACTGGTGGCGGAGGAGTGCTACTTGTTAAAAGCAAGACTTTTGATTCAGGTCCAGGAGTGCAACGCAAGGTATTGAGACGTGTGCTGACAAGTGACCTTCCACTGGATGGACGGGTTCTCGTACTGAAACTCGGCGTTCCTAAGAGAGTCTCTGCCCCGAACCCACCTCCAGGGTTCGTGCCATCATCAGGAATCTCCAAGTCCACTGATTCGCTGGAGTCACTTTCGGGAACGAGGGGCGCAGGAGGACCAGGAGTAGTGGGGGGAGCAGGATCTGGTACTACAACAAAGGCCGGCCGCAAGAAGGCTGCAGCAGGCGGAGTGGCAATAACAGGGCCAGCAGCAGGAACCGGAGGGGTAGCGGTCGGTCAGAGCAGAAGAGGGGCTTCTGCTGCTGCTGCAGTCATCTCTGGGGCAATCTCAGGAGTATCGGGGGGTCCTGTGTCTGCGAGCACTGCTGTGAAGGCCATTGCCGTCAGTGCGTCAGGGAGCACGACCACCGTCTCTTCCTCCTCCTCAATTGATAAGAATACAAACACAACTTCGTCTTCTTCTTCAGGTGGGGAAGGATCACCTGCGGACCATCATCAAGGGAAAGAGGATGATGCAGGCTTGCCGGCAAAGGATTCTCATGGCGATTCAGACCTTGCTGCCACTAGCAGCAGCAACATTGCTGCATCCTTGTTTTCTTCCGCGAAGGATGACCATAACGACAGAGACTCGAGTGCAAACTCCTCAACTAGTGGCAGAAGAAAACAAGGTGCACCTAATGGGTTGCTCGGCAGCGTGCGTCTTCGGCGCAAGTCAACACCTGCACGATTGAGGGTTGGAGAGAACGGAGCTGTAGATGGGGGTGCTGCCCCTATGACGCACTCCTCGGTAGAGTCAGATGCCATTTCAGCACCGTCGCCACGAAGAATGTCGGACTCTGCCACCTCGACCTCTCACAGGTCCATGCCAATTGGCAGACTGGGTTCACCAGCGAGAGATTCTCATGAGATCGGACTGTCGGCAGATAGCATGGGGAAAAGATCAGGGCCTTTCTCCCCATCTCCAAGATTGAAGAGCAGCCCAACCTCAGCGAAAGTGCGGACTCCTGGCACACGACAAAGTGCATCAGCCATGCCAGGAAGGGACCCGTCGCCTGCAGTTGGGACGGAAGCAGACAAGAGCGGAAGTGTCATGGGCGAGAGGGATACGGGTGCAGCGCAGCACCGGAGACTCTCGAATGGCAACAGCAGCGGGCATGGACGGCAAACAGCTGCTGGCTCTGCCAGAGCTTTCCGCGACTCTCTGTCTGTTGATGTCAAGGATAACACAAACTCTGTCACACCAGCCAGCAAGGTTTTGGGCAGGAACACGCCGGACAAGTATGCTAATCATAATCGCAGCAGCAACTCATCTTTCTCCCCCACCTCCTCCTCTTCCCTTTCCAATGCAGGTACGCATCATCATCCTGCAGGTGCCTCGTCGTCGTCCACCTCTTCAAAAGGGTCAGGTGTGAGCGTCTCTGCACATGCAATGTCTCCAAGCTGGAGAAGTGGGAATGCATCTGCGACCTCTTCGACTGCTGGGACACCAAGGACTGGAGTTCCCTCATCCCCTTCGCCCAGGTCACCGAGACCTCTTGTAATGGAGTCGACAGCTCGGTCATCAACAGGATCATCGTCGATGAGAATGAGTCGGGATCACACACCGACGTCCGGGCAGTGGGAAACGAAGGAAATGCCGAGGTTCATGCTTAAGACACAGTCTTTCCTTGCAAAGGAGAAATCAGGAGCTGGGGCAGTCGGAGGACCTGGTGGGGGGGGAGGGGCATCCGTGGGAGGGTCTCATTCCACTACCCATCTCGCCCAGCAGCAGCAACACCCACAACAGCAACAGCAACAGCAACAGCAACAGCAACAGCAACCACAGGCACCTCTGGCACAGCCACAGCCGCAGCCTCAGTCTCAACTCCAGTTGCAGCCACAATCTCAGCTGCAGCAGCAGTCGCCAACACCTCAGCAGCAGTCGCCACAGCAACAGGAGCAGCAGCCACACGCCGTCGTTGCTGTGCAGGAATAGACATAGTTACATATGAAAACCTTGTGAAGAGGAACAGTAGCCTCACTGGAAGGGCGGATTTAGGGGTTGGTGTAGGAAAGAGAGGGGGAGGAAGGTTCTGAATAGAGACGTGAGTACGACTCCGGTTTTACCGAGCTCAACAAGCACATAGTACTTTGTGTCTGGACTGCTGTGGCGTCGGACCGTTGGAAGAAAGAAGTGAACGTGGAGTGACGGGAACTGGAGGTGTTGACAGACGGTGGTGGCACACTGGTGTACCTTCGAAATTGTGTGACTGATCGACCAATCGAGGAAGGTTGCAATCGGCGAGGAAGAATTGAATTTACTTACAGGATGGCCCGGCTTAGGGCTCCCCCTTCCACCCCTCCCTGTTCTTTCCTTATAACTTCTGCCATTCATCTCGGCCCCTCTCTCTGTCTATGTGTCTTTGTCTTGCTAGCTCTGTGGGCTCTTCTGTCAGCTTTTCTGCCCTCCTATAGTGAAGAACTTCATATGGCATTTATATTCTTGCCCATGCTACTTCTTGCTTATGACTTTCTTCTTTTGTGACATAAAAGATTTTGGCTCGCTTCCGCGGCAAAGCACGCCCTGCATTGCCACACCGCACCACTCTTTTGCACTCTGTCACTGCCTGCCCAGCTGTCTGTGCACTCTCGCTGCACTTTGGGCGCAAGCACTTGTTCCATTTCGCTTTCGAACTCCAAACGGTCGAACGCACCGTGTCACACCTCCATGGACGCTAACATCTCGCGTTAACTTCTGACTACGCTGCCCATGCGAATCTGGGTCTGCCAACCCACGGACCCGGACAGGGGTGAAGACTACCTGGTGAAAAGGAGAGAGAGTATACTTCTTGGCTGCTACACCGTAAAGCTGTTGTCCTGAAGGCTGCACCTGTCTCCCAGTGCTCATCTACCAAGCAGTCGGCGAGTTCCAGACCAACTGGCAGGAACTGCAAGGATGTGATCGTTGCCGACCATCATGTCTCTCCTCCCCTGGCTGATGAAGTGAGTGCAAGGTATGACAGGTGTTTTGTTCGACTCGGGAGCAAGCTTGGTTGTCGGTGATGCCACATCATGAACTGTTGTCAACATCACATCATCACTCACCCATCCTGGTAAATGACTTATCTGTCGTCGTCTCATCCTGAAGTTCTTGTGTGTGTTTTTTTTTTCCAAGAGCGGAAGTGGGGCTGGTGTGCAGGCACTATGGTTTCCAAGTAGTCTGCGAAGAGTTTTTTGGTTGGGCGGGAGACGCAGGGAAACTGTGGAGAAACATTTGAGCAGGCACTGGATGAGTGGCGGAGTTCGCAGGCGAAGTATTCAGTGGTGTATTACCCGGCGGCCAGAAATGGAAAAAAAGATGTGCAACAATCAGTGGCTATAGGTCGATCGATGAGAGTCAAAGGAGCAGGAAAGAAACAACGGGCGCGTGTTTCCTGTTCTGGACGACAGTGGTGTTCGTGGTGCAGTGACACAGAGGGTGTCGCCCCAGGTGCGCTAGAAGCTCAAGATGGTAAGATGGATGCTAGACTCTACACCAGAATGCGCCTCCAAACTAAGAAAAGGTTGCTAATTGCAATCCAATTAGTCTTGAAGCTTTTTACTGTCTTGAAGTGAGGAGTAGGCCCAAAGAGACACACACATTCTGTGGATATAATTATTTCTTCTACTGTCTAATTATTTAGATGAGTGCGATTGGTTAGTCGATCGCTTGCCAAAGTGCATTGTGCTGCCCATTAAACTTCTGGCTGGTCACATGCTCTCTCTCTCTGTCTCTGTCTCTGTCTCTCTGTCTCTCTCTCTCTCTCTCTCTCTCTCTCTCTCTCTCTCTCTCTCTCTCTCTCT